TGTTCTTTATCTCATGTGAAAAAGTGGGAAAAAAATGTTCTTTATCTGCTGCTGAGAGGTTTGTTCTTGGTTCTGTGGGTTTGGGTCCAACCCCTTCAACCTTATTCCCCCAGGAGACACAATCCAGCTGGGAGACTTTATCCTGGGGCATTTAGGGACTATTGGGAATTCCCTTTTCTCCACCCTCACCCCTTTGCTGGATTTCAGGAGAATTTGGCAGAACTCGGGTTCAACCGAAAAGACACTTTTTGTGAACAAAAGAGCCACCACCAGCAAAATAAGATGAAATATCGATTCCCCACTGCTGACCACAGGCTGGGTCACTCCTACCCACTGGAAAGGAACATTTGCAACTGGAAGGGAACAACAGCATTGTTTGAAACTTTATAAAAAAAAGCAATTATCTCCCCCAACATCCATTCACTGACAAGGAACTGTATCAGTCACCTCAAACTCTCTCGGGGTAGGGACATGCTGGGGCTTAAAAAGTGATTTTTTTTTGGCTGTTCAAGAGAGTTTTCCTGCACTTAACCAGAGGGGGAATGACAAAACACAACCTGGCTAAAAACCTGGATTTTCAGAGGATAAATACTCAGAGGGATTCCCCCGGATGCTCAGGTGGGACACACAATTATCCACATTTATTCTCCTCCTCCCTAACCTGGGCAGGGATTTTCAGAGAGGACACATTAGAGGTGGGCAGATGGTCTCTGAAAACAGACTCCAGAACGTTGAGGAGCACGAAACATGGCACAGAACAGGAGCTTTGGCAGCATGCAAAAAACACACACAGGAAAAAGGTTTCTTACCTAAAATCGTTGCCTATTCTTTTGCCTCTCTCTGGAATCCCAGGGTCTGGACACATATTATGTCCCTGGGACACACCAACCTGAGTTACTACAAAGCAAAAAAACAGCACATACAGAGACAGAATAGCAAAAGAAACATTTCTTTCATCAACTGTCTTTGGTGGATGTGGAGAGAAAAAATGGCAACTGGTAGCTCGGAGAAACCTGAATATGTTCCATTTTGTGAGGGGAAAAAAACCAGCTTTGGAAACGAATACCCTGGAATCATTTCAGCTCAGCTCGTACACCAAAGTGTTTTCTAGGAAACCAAACTAGGGACACGGTTTTCCCTCTGTTCCACTACAGAAGCACCTCTGAAAATAGTTGGGTTTTGGTTTTTTTTCTCATATTCTGCGAAATCACCCCAATTAACCAGCCCGTTTAAAAGAGCCACCTGTGACCCACCCAGGTGACATCCTACACCCGAGCCAGCGGTGCCAGGGGAGGAAAACAGCTCCATGGAAAGGCAGGTGTGTGATACCAGGGGGAAAAAAAACCCCCTGAGCACGGAACAGAAGGCAGAAAGGAGGGGGGGAAATGCCAGTCGAGGGGTTCAGAGCAAGTCATTTAATCTGAAAATTTTATGGAGCGACCTCAGTGTAACTGCCAAGGACCATGAAAGCCATGGAGTTTCCATGGAACCATGGGAATCATGGAGAAACCTTCCAGCTCCACTCTCCACCTCCCCATTCCCGGCCCCTCTCCGGCCTGTCCCGGGCGCGACCGAGCGTTCAGGGGGTGGGGGCAAAATCCTGATTTCCACCCGGAATTCCAGCAACTCCCAAAGGGACCAAGAGGGGATTTTTGTCACAGAATTTGATGGCACCAAGGGGAGGACCCGAGGAAACCACGCCAGTCCTTGGTGTGGATCTCACACCCCCGGATTTTTCCATCCTGCCTCTGCCTATCCCTGGATTCGGGGGGAAAGCCCAATCCTGATTCCCAACATGCTGCACTAGCACAGTGCCCCCAAGGCCAGGGCCAGCTGGGTGATGGTGCAGGGACAAAAGCACGTTCCTGACAACACACACGTGGGCTCCAGAGCTGGAACTCAGCAGGAGATGGAGCACAGGGACAGGGGAGAGGAGGAGAGAGAGAGAAAGCACATGGGGTGTCTGCACAGACTGCACAGGGGGGACACACAGAAAGCCAAGACCATCAGATATGGTGATTATCCAGTGGGGAATTACACCTGGAGTAGCCAGGGATTCCAGCTGGGAGGTGGAAGTGTTCCTGCAAGGAGGGAAGGATCACCGGGATTGGGCTTTTGTCTGCACCCAACTGAAAACATTCCAGCCCCTGGCCTCCTCCTCAGCTCTGGCATCTCATGTTGTGCCCTTTAGTTCTGACAGGGCCTTTTTTAGCTCCTGCCCTCCCCTTCCCACCCTGTGCTGGAGCAGGGATGGGGCTGTCCCCTGTGTTCCCACCCTGGGGTTCCCACCCTGGTGTTCCCACCTCGGTGCCCCACGCTCTCCTCCGGGTGTTTGAGGGCACAAGGGGAGCAGAAACATGGATTCATGGAAACCAGGCTCCCTCAGAGACTGTTTTCCCTCCTCTGCACGTTCATGAGCCCACGTTAAGCTCAGCCAGGTGGGGAGGGGGGAGTGTGAAAGCAGCACAACCCCCTGACTGCTGCCACCCCTGCGGGGCCCTGGGGGTCTGGATGTCCCCCAAAGGCCAAAGGAAAGCAGCAGCCCCTGCCTCCAACACCCACATTTTCAGCAGCTCCTGGAAATGAAAGGTCAGCTCTGCAAAGTTCTTTCCATGGGGTGTCTTCAGTCTCTACCCACACACCCCAATGTGACCCCTGGGCACAAACCAACCCTCAGGAAAAGTGTCCAGGCTAAGGCTGGATATCACAAGGCCACGTGGGAGTGAAGGAAAAGTGCTGTGACTTCTCATCTTCCTCCTGTGCCTTGCCCAGAGTAAGAAACTCCCCCCAAGAACCCCCCCCTGGAACACGCACAAACACCCTGCATCGAGCTCTGGGTGCTCTTCTGGCACAACAAACCCCCTTCCCACAGCAAATCCTTCCTCCCCGTGCTCA